AAAGCACTTCTGCGAGGCTAGGGACCTGATTCTACCAAAAAATTTTATTTCTGATGTGATAGAGCCAATTCTGGAAACACTCTAGTGGGGACCTCCTGATTGTTGGGTTTGCGGCGCATTAGCGTCCGTCCGTGTTGTGAGCCAAACCGATCCAATAAGCATGGATAGCCAAAAGTGGATGTCGGTGTTATCTGAGGACTGTCAGTAACCCACAAGCACTAATGATTGTTAGCGAGGAACCTCCACTGCTCACAGAGATTTGAATCGGCGATAGTGCCAGCAACCTTTAGGAACTGGCTGCCTATGGTTACCCCACTGTATCGAAAAATGAGGCGATCGAAAATCTCAAATCTTGCGGTGGAAAACTGTCTCTAGGGCTAATTTGAGCCCAGAGCAACGAATTTATCACACTCGTCGGCCCTAAAACGCTTGCCATAGGACGTTTGCATGGTTTCCTGCAATCACCACTGCCCCTCCAGGATGCGTACAAGACGTTTTCACGAAATATGACTGCAGTGTTGATTTTCCAGGCATTAAAGCACCTCTAGTTTCAGATTCCAGAAAATTTGGACAATTTGGAGCACCTCATATACATGCTGGAAATGGGTGCGACCTGGTCAAAAATCCTGCATAACTTTGTCCAGGAAGTCGTTTAGCAGATATGGAGGGCAGATTTGTAATCAGCGTCCAAAGGCCCATCGGGCAGTATACGTCTCATTTCGAATGGCCACTTCGACCAACCATCCTTTCCTTGTCAGCCCGTAACGTCCTTTGAACAACTGCTGAAAAAAGGCATAATAACTATCACAAACAGTAGAGCTCAGCCAGCGTTTAGTGGAGGCGTACGCGTGAAACTAACATAGTCAGTTGTACAAAATTCTGCCTTCCTATGACTCCCTCCTAATGACCAGTGAAGCAGAGCAAAGAAGTCCCAAAGGAAATACACTTAAGTTTGCTTCAGATTGGGCGTGTCAGGAAGTATGAGTGTGTCACCCCGTTATCTGTCTTCTTTGGTGATATTAGGTTGTCCGGAAAGTTCTTAGCGTTTTGTGCACCTAATCTTTGTACATTCACTGCTGATTAAAACTCATTCTGCCTTGCTTCTCAGTAGCACATCCTGTAGAGAATTTCTTGCGCTATCTGATGGTATAATTGCCGTTTCACCATTGCTTGATAAACCCCCTTTTTTCAAGATTTTTTCAAGCATGTGAAAAGAGCACTTCGGACGATTTTTTCTTCGGCTATAAATTGGGGCAATCCGCAATCGAAACAGCTCAACAAATTAACCAGGTGTGGAGGCCCAATAGTGCTAGAGAAAGCACTGTGCCGGCAATGGCTCAACAAATGTTCAATGTCGTTCTGGAAATTTCAGCCTTGAAGGTGAACCTCATAGCGATCGACCTAAAGCAATTCTGACGAGGATTTTGAGGGGATTTCGGAGGCTGATCTATCCCAAACAGTTCGAGAGATAGCAGAAGAGCTAGGCGTTTGCAAATCCACTGTTGCAGATGGTCTGGAACGCATTGGGAAGGTGAAAAAACTCGACAATTGGGTGCCCCACAATCGGAGTGACCGGCAGGAATCGGCACGTCTCGAGGTTCCTTCTTCACTGCTTTTGCGCAAAAGAATTGACCCGTTTTTGAACGGATTTGTCACCTGTGATCGTAATGGAAAACAGGAATCATGATTATAGATAACAGAGACGTTCCGGACAGTGGTTGGATTTGGAGGAACCACCGAGGTAATTTTCAAAGCCGAACCCTCGCGAAAAAAAATTCTGGTCAGGTTTGGTGGTCATCGGCTGTTGTAATCCACTATAACTTTTCATCACCAGGCCAAACCATCACAGCAGAACCCTACTGTGAACAAACCGACCAAATGTACCGAAAATATTGTCAGCTGCAGCCAACACTTATCAAAAGAAAGGGTCCGATTCTTTTGCATGACAACGCCCGCCCACACGTTTCACAAATCACTATCCATAAATTGAACGAATTGGGAGTTGAAGTTCTACCTCACCCACCATATTCTCTAGACCTTTCACCAACCGACTGTCACCTTTTCAGACATTTTCAGAACTTTCCTGCTGAGAAATACTTCATCAAACAGGACAGCGCCCAAAAAAAGCCTTCCGTGGATTTCTTAAATTTTTCCACCACCCAGTTTTCTTTACTTTGATGATTTGCTCGACTGCTTGCCACAATTGGCAAAAGTGTGCTGATTCAAATCGGTGCTTATTTGGATTAAATCCGATGAGTGTTAAGAAAGTTATGATCGTTTAAAGTTAAACACCCAAAACGCTAAGAACTTTCCGGACAACCTAATACAAAAATCACAAAAGTGTGAGAAAAGAGTAATACGACACGATATAAATTACAGTCATTCACTTGCTCGCTTTAAACTGCGTGGAGACGGCCAAACTCTTCCGGCTAACAGGCCCCCGAAACCACGGGCCCCAACAACGGCCAAAATCGTTTGTCGACCATTTTCTGAAAATTACCCCCTAATTCCGTTACTAAATACGCCCCCTTTTGGAGTTGTACGACCTCCCCCCAGTTCCTACTGTCACCTCGTCATCGGAACCGAGCCACGTCGAGCGGTCGATCGGGGGGGGGAAGTACTGCTTTTTCCCAAAAACCTTGCTGTTCGAGGGGCGGAGGTGGTCGTCAGAATTAACTAATCATTTCCACGGATGTCGGAAATTAAAAGTGCGTCAAATATGACCCCCCGCCTCTTCCCAAAAATGACCAATTACGACCCCCCTTTACAGCGTCCGTGAAACAAGAGAAATCAACTATCAAAAAAATTTTCTCTGACCAAATACGACCCCCCTCCCTCGCGGTCAAATACGACCCCCCCCCCCTTGTGATGATCACAACGATGGCGTACCCTGCGCCCAACCGTCCGCAGCCAACTACACTATATACTGTTGAAATGAGACTAAGATTTTGATAAGGATAGAGCCTTATGGTACCGACACAGGTATGTCTGACTGGACTAATTTGACCCCGACGTGATTTCACCAGCGCTGAAGAGCCCAAGACCGGCGCATGTACGAGAAGAATGCGTTTGAATGGACTAATCGGCTGACAAAGTTTTTGATAAATTATCTCAATAAATCAGTGCTTTAGGAGAGAGTTTCTAACGGTGATAATGGGGTACACCATAAGACCATTTCTCTTATCCCTAGACATGACCATGACGAAAACTGTTCGAACCAGCAAAGAATTCGTCAAAGCGAAGAAGAAGAAGAGCAAAGAAGAAAAAAGAGGTTCCAGAGAAATGCCATGAAAATAAGACTGAAATTTTGGCAAGGATAGAGCCGTATGCTACTTGACAAAGGTACGTGGACTGGACAAATAGACGCCTGAGCAACATTTTATACCGTTGTAGATCGAAGAGACCGTCACCCCTTGAGGACATTTGATCGTGTTGTCGCTCAACTGAGGATTTTATTTTTAAGTTTTCCTGTTTCATTTTGACTAAAAAAGGAAAATATTGTTGCGCATTACATTGCAATGACCTCCAGAGATAGAGGATAAAAAAATTAAAGCTTTCGGCGCTCACTGGTCCGTTTTTGGGATGCGCACCGTATTTTATTGTACTTCAAAGTCGTAGTGGTTTATTCGGAATGTACTGAACGCAACATGACCTACACAACGATTTCCGGAAGCCAATCAATGTTGAAATCAGTGTTTTAATCGTCTCCGGCGAGCTTGGGGCCAATTATCCGGTCTCAAAACGGTAGAGAACTTGGTTGCTCTGGGCGGGAATCGATCACGAATCTGATCTCCAGTTATAAGCGGCGCCGCTTGTCTATACACTACCTTCTTCCTTGATAGTTTAGTCGTTCAACAATTATGTTATTCGAAGCTCAGGCGGAGCATGTTGTTCTTTCTCATTGTTGTTAGAAATAAATTAGCGGAGTTACATACAATTAATTGAGCTTATGTCTAAATCTTTTCGCTTTCGTCGCTTACCACTAATGGGTTTAGTGGAAGAAGTAATAGAGGTTGCCATGTGACTGACGTACCGGTCTTTCCACCTCCAGTAGGATATGAGGTACTAGTGGAAGTGAAGAAGGCCGAAATATGAGCTCTTACATAGTTTATTGAACATTCTGTACAAAATACTTCGACAGTGACAACCAGGGTACAGCATAATTGTGTGGAGCACATGGGGAGGGTTGTACTTGACCACTAGGGAGCGGGGGTCGTACGTGCCTTTGAGAGGAATTTGCCGCATTGGGAAAAAATTTTTCCCAGTGGTTGACTTTTCGCGTTCCCTCCCCGTTTCACATTTGCTGTATTCCCCCCCAACGGAAAATTTTTGGGGCAAAGTAGCAAATTTCGGGAAATTTCGGAGAAAACTGGTAGGAAGCTGGGAACTGTAGGAAAGTGGTAGGTAGGTGTTGGGGAAGGGGGGGGGGGTCGTACTGACACCACCATTTCACACATCACGACGCTGTACCCTGGTGACAACAACGATGGATCAAGGAAGGCCTCGTCTCATGCCAAGATTCCTGCAAAGTCAGGAATTGGACACCGTGTTGGTAATATTTCGAGTGCAAGGTAAGCAATGCTTCCTCCTCAACCCTTGAACTCATGTGAGGTGAATGAGTCCACAGCTGTGAAACACGTCATTTTGTTCGCTCATAAGTGCACGGAAATGGTGCTGGAGGTAGTGGTACTCGAGTTCCTTCGCCAGTTTCCGCCTGCGGTATCTTCGAGGTGCAGCACTTGCGTCAAATTATATCGTCCCATTCTCCAGTTTCTCTCTTCATGCAACCTCAGGCATGTTAGTTGTTAGTGTTAATTTCTTCTGTGCCTTACGATTTTTTTCTGGCATTGTTTATGGGACGGGACCTAGGGTGGCGCTGAGATTGATGGAGAACATGCTGGTCACTTTGTCTGTCTAAATGCCTCCTTCGCGCTGCTGGCGTTCTTTGGTGCGGGTGCGAATTGCACCACAATTCGGTCGTCCTTTGGCGGGCCGTTCAATCATGTCACTTCGATGCTTGCGTTTCCAGCCGGGTCGACGAATCCAAAGACGGGACGAACACGATACTCGTCGTTGTTAGTACCTTCGAGTCCTTGAAGATCATCCTCTGATTCGTATTGTTGGTGAGTTTTCAAGTGGATTTGTCCAATGGCTCGACCGTTAGTGGCATGCTCACGACGACAATATATTTTATAACGTCCCATTTATTCCCAACAAATGGCTAGTGTTAAGTATAATACATCATCTTCTCATATAAGCATTCAACGTATAGCGCAAGGGTTCAGGAAGCAAATGATTATTAAATAGTTACAGGTCCATTCTGTTACGCTTGCTTATTCTTCACTCTTTACCTATCTCTTCTTGTTTCTTCAGTAGTGAATCACTCCTACTGTAAAGACCTCTTCCTCCCTCCACGACAAAATACGGCCCGCACGGTGATCGGTCTCGCACAATGTTGTTGTACCCTGTATATCTTCCTGCTATTAGTTCAGGACAACAAGTTTGCTATCCTACTTTATATAATCCGCTAAGTTTGTCTGTTGGTGTGTGTATGTGTGTCTGTATGTGTGCTTGACCGGAAATTCATAACTTCCTTTGATTTCATCGCAAGGAGTAAATTATGAGTTATTGAGGGGGTAGGGTTGGGTAACAACATCTGGTCGGGTGCAGCAAAAGTGATAACAGCTGATAAGATACGATAACAAGGCGCGTTAGAAGGAAAGAGAACCTAACTTCACATCTCGGGCCACAGTAACGATGGAACATTTTTTGGAATAGGGGATAGGTTGGGATAAACATTGGTGGGTGGTCCAGGGAAGGTCGATAACAGGCTGATAACAGCTGATAAGATACCATAAAAGGCGTTAGAAGGAGAGAGTACCTAACTTCATATCTTGGGCCACAGTAACGATGGAACATTTTTTCGAATAGGGGGTAGGTTGGGATAAACATTGGTGGGTGGCAGGAAGTGATAACAGCTGATTAGATATCATAAAAGCATAAAAGGTTTTAGGAGTAGACGTCTAACGATGCCTGTCAGTGAGGAATGATAAGAGCCACTGACAGGTGGATGCGTGAAAATGCTTCACCACTTTTACGAGAGGATATGAAGTCATTTCACTATCATCTCAATATTGTGCCTATCAAAACACTTTCAACCGCTAGGCTGTCCGTGTTTCCGACGAATGGAGGATGTTTCCAGAAGTGTGGTTAGCACTAGGCACTGGCATCGGAGACAGGTAGCTTGAAGATAACTGGAGTTTGTTGAAGGTTGCTGCAGATGTACAGTCATTTTACAGTTGCACAGGCTTAATCATTACATGCGCGCAGAAGTGCGCGTTAGCCAAACTGGTTTCTTATATTTAATCATTGTGAATGGAGTCTCCTTGGATAGCTAAGGCA